TTTGATTCGAGTAATGGGTTTTGTGGAGGCACAAAAACAGAGGGACTTTTCAAATATTTTTTGGTAAGTGTGTGACGGCTGTCACAGTACAGAGACGCAATGGATATGTGCCACGTGTTACAGATAGGACATGATGTTAGGTACATGAAACGACAGGTTGTGACAGGCACAATATTGAAGACTGAGCTAACCCAGCTCGGTGGGATTGAATATTTTAATCTCGGTGTTGTTGCTTATTTTAGTTCGGTTGCATGAGTGTTTTAGCTCGGGTGGAGAAAGATAATCCCAAATCATGAGTTGCAAATGGAATTAAGGAGAAATTGAAAGGGTAATTTATGCATCAATTGGGCTGAACTAAGTAAGTCCGTTGGAATGGACCGAGGTAGGTATAGTATTGGGCCGAGCCACGGACCAAGGTACTTATCTCAGTAGCCGTTGTCCTTGGTCATTCGGTCAACTATGGGCTATCAGTGGCCTGGTCTAGCGGTCGTAGACCGAGGTATCTGTGGGAATTGGACCGAGCTAAAGGATAGCTCGGCAGGGGACCTTCCACAGACTAGGCTGAATTGACTTAGTTAGCACCGAGTTGTGTAAGCACGGTTATGTCTTGTGCTAGCCGTAGTAGACGTTGCAGCTATCTCACTTAGATAAGCAGTGAGTAAGGAGTTATCAGGATATACTTTATCCTTTGGAGTGTGATTCCTAGGATGACTCTTATAAAGAGAGTTGGAATCCTACTAGGATTGTACCAAGTGGAATCTACAAAAGCTCATGATCAGACCTATGTGCAGGTATCACAACTTCTACTCTCAAAATCGCAGAGCTTTTTGTCTATTGTCTATTTGCTGACTTAGGTATCGGAGAGGTATCCGACACACACTTGCAGGCTAGCTCACGCTTGTGTTTTCAGGAAGTAAAGTGACGATGTTTAGTGGAGTGCAAACTTGATCAACAGAATTATACGAGAAGATTATTTTATCCTCGTACACTTTAATATTGAATTTTTTTAATTTTAATTACAATTAATCTTAATTAAATATTGTTAGATAATAATTTATAATAAAATATAAGTCATTTTGTTTAGTTTTGAAAATCAAAAATTGGTTTTGGTTATTTTCTTATGTTTTGTCTTTAGTGAATTTCTTCAAATTTGTGTCATTTTTTATTTTTACTTTTTAGATGTACTTAAAAAGTAAAATATTTGCAACAATGTTAGGTACCCATAAAAAAGTAAAATATTTTGGTGTATCACAAAATCATTTCAATCACGTATCCTGTTTGGCCAAAACCTCTATACATCATAGGAGGTTAGTGATTTAAATTTTTTTACCTACGTGTGAGTATTGTTCCCCGTATAATTGTTGGCTTTCTATCTCCCTCTTTCAAAGTTTCTTTCTATTAATTGTTTTGTATTTAATTTTTACTATTATCATTGTAATTCATTGGATTTCATTGTAATATCATATATGAATTGATCAAAATAATAATAATAATGCATTAGTTTACAATCATATAGCAATATTAGCGAGATGAGGTCTTATAATCTCTATTCTCCCCTTCTTTTTTTATAGCAATTTCTCCCATCTTCGTATCTCATTTTAGCAGAAGCTTCGTGTATTGGGTTGCCCTTTTTTAATCCCCCCCCCTCCCTCTCTCTCTCTCTCTCTCTTCTGTTTCCTTCAATATGGGATGAAATGACCAAATGAAAATTATTTATGCAAGTGATAAGTATAAACATAATGAATTATCGTAGTGGTTTATGAAATGTCATTCTCATAACAACAATGAAAGATTGATCGATTCAATGGTTCATTAACTTATAATATGATAAACATGATCAATTCCTTAAAGGTTACATAAATATGAAGCAAATGTTGTTAATTTTTAATTATTTGCTGCAGGTTGTGAGAGCTTATCGAGATTGGAAAAGCTAGAGACGTTATATCTCACACAATATGAGTCCAATAGAGAAAACAAGTTCAACAGGAGCATCGTTCTATGTTTGAGTTCATTGATATCTCTCAAAAACCTTTCTCTTCAAGGCAACAACTTAGGAGATCCCTTTCCTGCCCGAGGCATGTCTATCTTTATGAGAACTCCCAAAGAGAATATATTATCCATCCTTATCTTATTCATATCTTCACAAGAACTGTTTCAGTGCAGAATTAATGGTGTTGAAAAACTTGGAGACGTTGGATTTAAGCTTTAATAAGTTTAGCTCCCTAACAATAGAAGGTATGACTTAAGAACTTCCTAGATTCAGTTGAATAGAACTATCAATAAATTTTATATTTATATGTATGAGTTCATGTTTAAGCCACCTGCTATAGATACACAAGTATTAAGGCCTCGTTTGAGAACATGCTATTTTAGTAATTTTTTGGCACAAGTATAACTTACAATTGTTAGAAACCATGTGATACGCATGGTGTGACCTAACCATGAAGGACACATGGTACATCCACACATGGCCTAGCCATGAGGAACGCATAGTCAGGGACACATAGTCTTGGACACCATGAGGTACACATGGCCTTGTCAAAGATGGCTATATAAAGGTATGCTCAACATTGAGAAGATTACAACAATATAAGCTAAGATCTCCTTTTATTCATCTATCTTGAGGTTACCATTTGAAAGTCTAAGAATTTGGAGTGTAGATAAATATTAAGAAACTCTCATAACTTCTCGATTGACGGAGATTTTTCCAGATGAGACTCATAATTCAAGCATCCGATCTAAATTGTTTCCACATTAGATAATATGATTACTTGTATTTTTCCTTGAAGAACAATGGATCAAAAGTACATCTGTTTATTTGAAAGCAACTTCTTAAATATTGCTCTACCCATTTAGAATTACAACAATGATAGAGAGCTCTAAATTTTGAGTTCTAAAGAGAGCTCTAATGATGTGGTAAGGGTAAAAAAACAAAAACAAAGCCAAAACATCACATTAATGAAGTGGGGCTAACCCCTAGAGCTCCTTTAGAGCTCATGTTTTAGAGCTCCAAAACATTTTTGTTAGAATTATTATAGCTTGTTTACACGCTTCCCCATCTAGTTGTTTTTGTTAGCTTAGGCATTGAGTTGTAGCTGTTGGTATATGTTGTACAGCATATATGAGTTTTAGAAATTAAATTTTTTGATTTTTAAAAGTAAAAATTTTGTTGTAAAAAATATTTAGTGATCAATTTTTATCGTCATGAGGATAATCGCTAAAAAAGCGTCCCGAAAAATTAAAAATGAGATTTTTAGCGACAAAATTTTGAAAATGTCACTAATAAATAGGGACAAAATGGTTTATTTATTAAGACAAAAAATTTGGTCCCAAAAGGATAAAATTCATCAGTAATATCCAATTTTTGTTGTTAAAAATATAATGGCACTTTTTGCAATAAAATATTTGATCCCTAAAAAATAATTTTGTCCTTAAAACTTTAATTTTTTATTTTTTATTTTTTATTTTTTTTGTAGTGATGGTTTTGTTGTGCCAACAGAAGCTCTTATATTACTTTTGCAATTATCAGGGGGAAAAAAAAAGCATAGGAAAAATTAAGCACAAATAATAAACACAAAACACAATTAGGCGGTATTCGTTTACCATCTTTACCCAGCAAAGCGACTACATTACAAAATACCCAAACAAAATAATACCACCTACAAACCACAACTTAATAGATATGACACCAAGGCATAACCCTTTAACTTGCTTTTGCCCAAGCAGCACTACTCATTCTTCTTTAGTGAATCAACTCTATTACTCTCACAAAAAACATGCTCTCCCATGAGAGTAGAGCCCCTCAAACCTTGGGCGTATTAAAGCCTCTTTTAGACCAAATTGTTATTGCAAAGATCATGAAATTATTGCTGCGAGAATACTTAATAAAAGAAAAACCAACACCTAAAGATAGGAACTTGAGACAATTTCCAACAAGTTCACATAAAGAGAAAGACCATGAATCAATTAAAGCGAAGAGGATTTGACAAAGGCATTGGACAATGCATGGATTTTAGAGTGTTGTGTCATTCATTGAGCTTCAGAAGAGCATTTTAATGTCTACTTGAAATCAACAAAAAATAAAAATCTGATGGTGTAACTTTGTATTTAGATAGCTGACACTTTCCTTGATAGTAACATTCAAGATCATAGATTTCTACTGTGCAATTATGTGTAAAATAATGATGGAGCCATTCAATGATTGTGCTCTTGATTTTCAAATATTTAAATAAATAACAGAAATGCTCAAAAAGAGAAAGCAAGATAAAAGAAAAAGAAATAGATGGCTGGGAAATAGTTGTTAGTACTTCTAGCTCTGCGACTTCTTTTGTTTATTATTTATTATTTTTTATTTTTTTAACTGGTTCAACTTACCTATTGATTTGAAATTGAAAATATGATTAAATACGTTAGATGTTACTTATGAAAGAAATTGTCTACATTGTCTGGTTTTATACATAGTGGTTTGTGGTTTACCTAATTACTGTTTTGGTTTGTAGTTTACCTAATTATTGTTTTTGGTGAAATAAGGGGTGTGTGTGTGTGTGCTAATTCCATACCACTATATATATATATTGTCTACAATTGTGAATCAGAGTGAAAGTCTTTTTAAAAAGTACCTAATTACCTGTAAAAGCAATAAGTTAGTCATTTTCACTTATGGTTCTTTCGGGTTGACTTTTAATGACATTTGATCATTGCCATGTGCTCAGATTCTAAACTACTGTCTAATTTGAGCAAGATGAGACATCTGAATCTAAGGAATAATAATTTTGACAAGGATGCCTTCCGGATTTTGGGTGCTCTCCCATCCCTTAAGTTTCTATCCTTGGAGTCCAATAGAATCGAAGGACCACTTCCTAACCAAGGTACGTGTACTTTTTATTTCTCAAATTCATGCTACTTAAGTCAATTTTTTTAGCTCCATTTGACTGTTGAGAACACTCAAATAGTTGAAAAAATTAAGCCTTACAGCTAACAAATTGTGCAAACTTATAGTTCTTCTTTGTCAAATATATCTTTCTGGAATCTATTATTGCTATCAATGGCATCATTGTCCTTAAATTTTTTGAACATTACATTTTCATTTGAAATTGAGCTACTAACTGAGGTGCCCACAGAATATAGGTCACAACATCAATTTATATTTATCTCTGTTTTCTTTATCTCAATCTAATTAACGAGTCTATTCACCTGGGTTACATAATTGACTTATAATCTTAGCAATCTAGAGGTCCTCCTCCTCAAAGGTAATAAGCTCAATGGAACGCTACCAATGGAAGGCAAGAATTTTGTTACTTACATTGTCTTAGGATCACCCTGCAATCTTGATTGTATTTTGTTAAGTTCTCTTAGCTCTATTTTACCTTTGTCGTATGTTTTGGTAGGTTTGACATCCTTCTGCCATCTGGAGATCTTAGATTTGAGTAGGAATAATTTCTTTGCAAGTATTCCTCCATCCATAGGAGCATTATCTTCTCTGAAAGCTCTATCTCTGGCTCAAAATAACCTTAATGTTTCTTTACCAATTCAAGGTAAAAATTCTATTCATTAAGGTTATCTATTATAAACTAAATGGCCAACAAAATAGAAATTCCAAGGCCAACAAAAATTCTATTGCTTCCTTTCTATTTTTTTATTTTATTTTATTTTTTTTATTTGCTTCATGCAAATAAATAAACTAGTATTGACAAAAACTATGAACTAGCATCATCTTTCTTTTTTCAACAGTTAGCTGGTGTTCGATAAAATTGGAAGTTGAAAACTAAAAGTTGAGGAAAATTCTAATATACATTCCTTTAAAAAAGGTGTATCATATGAATCTCTAATTATGTTATTTTCTTCTTTAGTTATGTCATTTTATTTTTTAATTATGACTAATTTTCTTCTCTAATTATGACATTATTTTAGTTATGATGCATGAGTTCTTTAATTATGCCTCATGCTGCATTTAATTATGATATTTTTTCTTTTTCTTAGTTATGACTCAAAAAATTAAAATTATGCTATTTTTCTTTTAAGTTATAAGGTGCATATGGTGCACACTTTTGAAGGGTGTGCACCGTAGTGTTTCCCAAAAGTTGAAAATTAAGTACTGAAAATTGAAAGTTGAATTCTTTAAATTAAAAAGTTGTTTGATAAAAATTTAAATGCTGAATTGTTTGATATGTAGAAGATTAAATTTGAAAATTATTATTTTAAATTGTATCTTTCAAATTTTATATTGTGATGGTGGGGGTGGTGATGATGGTGAGGTTATAGCAGTATATGTTGATGCTTGTGCATATGTATTTATAAATTCAGTCAATATTAAATAAGTTTCATATCATTTAGAAAAATTTGAACTTTTAGCATAAATATTTAGACCCATTTGAATTTTTAAGTGATATTAATTGTGATTATGAAATGAATGTAATCGATTTTTATTTAATACATTTAGTTTTAAATATTGAATTGTGTTATCAAACAGCACTTTATATACATATTATAATAGGAACTTGTATTACAGAGTATTATATAAATCTATGGCATTACAAACTATACATGTTTTATAAGCTTCTTGTTTTGTAGGTTTGTGCAAACTGAAGAAACTTGAAGAGTTAGATCTCAGCTATAACCTCTTTGAAGGAACCCTTCCTCCATGCCTAAGCAATATGAGATCTCTCAAGTTTTTTGATATTTCTCTAAACCAATTCACAGGAAACATTTCTCCATCTCAGTTTGGAAGCCTTTACCCCCTCGAGTACATTGGTCTTGGTCATAATCGTTTCGAGGGTTTATTCTCATTCAGCTCATTTGCAAACCATTCAAAGCTTGAGGTGGTTGAATTGATAAGTAACAATGACAAATTTGAGGTGGAGACTGAATTGACAGATTGGATTCCCATCTTTCAGTTGAAAGTCCTTGTTCTATTAAATTGCAATCTAAACAAGCTCTCTGGTGATGTTCCGAAATTTCTCCTTTACCAAAACAAGCTAATGTTCGTTCATCTCTCCTACAATAACTTGAGAAGGTCTTTCCCAAACTGGCCACTGGTGAACAACACGATACTAGAAATTTTATTCCTATGGAATAACTCGTTTGTTAATCCATTTTCTCTGCCACAATACTGCTATATAAGTACTAACAGAATTGATGTCTCTGACAATCGCTTAAGTGGGCAAGTTCAAGCCAATATTGGGGATATGTTTCCATATATTCAGTACTTAAACTTATCCAGGAATGCTTTTGAAGGTGGTATCCCATTCTCATTTGGTAAGATGAGTAAGTTGTCTGTTCTGGATTTATCCACTAATAATTTTTCAAGGGAGGCGTCGAACCAGTTAGTTAGAAATTGTAGATTTTTATGGATTTTAAAATTATCAAATAACAATTTTCGTGGTCAAATATTTTTAGTTGACTTCAACTTGGCTAGTATAGAGGCTTTGCAATTGAATGATAATTAATTTACAGGACCTCTCACAAATGTGCTCTCCAAATTGCCTAAATTGAATTTCCTTGATATTAGCAACAACTACATGTCAGGTAAGATTCCAAGTTCAATGGATAACAAGACGTCGTTACAAACACTAATCATGCGAAATAATTCATTCAATGGTGATTTCCCATGTGCACTGGTTCCAAGTGCGTTTATGGTCATCTCTTATAACTCATTTTCGGGATCAATACTTCCTTCTTGCTCAAACCCAAACCTACAACACTTAAAGCATAAGCATATGCATTTGCATGGTAACAAGTTTACAAGGTCAATTTCAAGAGCTCTCCTTAATTCGTCATATCTTTTGACTCTAGATATTAGAGACAACATCTTTTTTGGCAGCATTCCTGATTCCATCAGACTACTCTCCAAACTTAGAATTCTTCTGTTCAGAGGGAACCAACTAAGCGGTTCAATTCCAATTCAATTGTGTCAACTAAATCAGATAAATTTGATGGACCTTTCTAATAACTATTTCAATGGTTCTATACCTCCTTGTTTCAATACTATCACCTTTGGCACGATAAAGGCTAGTGACCGACCCTTCATGCAAGAACCTTTAAATAATTTTGGTGGGTTTACAACTTACTGATACCGAGGTATAATTGAGAGCAAAGTTGTGCCCCTTGATGAAGTAGACAAAGTTGAGTTTGTCACAAAAAATAGGAGTAACTCTTACGAGGGCAACATCCTTAATTTCACGTCTGGATTGGATCTGTCACATAACAAACTAATAGGTAACCTACCTTTTGAATTAGGAAATCTAAGTAATGTTCATGCACTGAACTTATCTCACAATCTGTTGACTGGGCCTATCTTGAAGACCTTCTCAAACCTTACCCAAGTAGAGAGTTTGGACCTTTCTTACAATAGTTTGAGCGGTAACATCCCAACAGAACTAATCAATCTAAATTTTTTGGAAGTGTTCACTGTGGCTCACAACAATTTATTAGGTAAAATATTAGGCAGGAAAGCACAGTTTGGGACCTTTGAAGCGAGCAGTTATGAGGGAAATCCATTTCTTTGTGGACAACCAGTTGTAGACGTCCCTGAACGCCCCGGGAGGGTGAGTTCCCGTTCTGTTCATTTGGGGTCACTACAGCTCAGGACTCTCAAATTGTCATGGTTCTAAGTCTGAACCAAAGAGTCCAAATCTGGCAAATTGTTTTGAGAAAACAGATTTTTGAAAGAAGTGCCAAACATGGACTGCTTTGCCAGAACAGAGTCGCTACCCTAATGTTTATTATTGGGGAAATTACGGAAACCCTGACTCGTTTGCCTAAGGGCCACGTGTCCGTCATCACAAAGTTGCCTTGGCCTCGGGAACTTGGGTACGATTGGAGAAGGCACTTCGTGAGCCATTCCCTGCTCGCCCGATCAAAGAATCGGCCATTACTAAACCATGATATCTATTTTTGAAAACATTATGTGTTCTTATTCCGGTTATTAGCCTAGATTTATTATGTGATGTGCACAGCATACAAAGTTAGACTGGAATCGCCTGAATTGGAACAAAAATTTATGTTTGTTTTTTGAAAGGTGGTTTTGCTACTCGCAAGTAGGCTTAAGATGCAGATTTTGCCACCTCAGGTGGGCTTAAGAAAGATGGTTGCCACTATCTAGTGGGCTTAAAACTCACAGTTGATGATTTGTTCCAATCCAAATAACCTAACCTTCACCCACAGGCATGTCAGGCAGTTATATTCACTAAGCAAATAGCCTCATGGTAAGCATGCTATTCATGGAGTCACTCGCACGCATGCAAGGATGCTAAAGCATAAAAGCTTACCGAGTCATCCAAGCCAAAAGAAGAAGCTCTATTAGAAATCCATGCATGATCCAATTATAGCAGATAATGCCTAATGCAACACATGCAAAGTGCACACTATAGCAGAGCTCGGCTATTCTAAACATGGCATGTGAAATGCCTCAGCGTAACATGTATTCAACTTGAAATTGGAAATACAATGCAGTTCAGCTATGAATGCGCCGAGCCGGTGCATGCAAAAACAGATGAATGATGCAAACATGCTATCATACTGTATGTAATTGAAACATCCCTAATCTAACCATCATAAGCGGGTAAATAAAAGGGAGAAGACGTGGGTGGAAGACAAACATCACACACCACGCACACTTATTACAGTTGTGCCTCGCGCAGAGGATCCGAATAAATAGTACAGTCCAAATAATACAGTCCAAATATATACAAATTCTAATTAATTTACAAATTAACTAATAAAAATAATAAACTGGCATGCAAGCCAGGGACTGCCTTGACTCTCATGAATGATGCATGTCTGGGCTGCCTTGCACGGAATCCACTGGCCCCGATTAGCCTCTGTTTTGTAATTTCTTGGAAAGCGCGGCAAGCTCGCGAAGGTTGCTAATTCTTGATTGGCTGCAACAGAGAGCAGGAAAGGGCATAGCAATGTATTTTACAAGTATGATGCCTTGGATCCTCATGCCACCAATCACGCATCTCGATGCATGATGGCGAGGAGTCGATTGTGCAACTCAAATTAGAATGAATGCACATGAAAACAAAACAAAACTAGACTCCATCATGGATAATCCGAGTGTCGGGCGACTGGGAATTGAGACACGTTCCGTCAACTCGGAGTACGAAATGTACCTCGTTTCCCATGCCTGGGCTAACTCTTCCCAAGCAACAATGCAAATATGCATGATATGCATGAAATGCAACTAAGATACCAACCTAACATACACAATGCTATGAAATGGCTACACGATGCACGCAGATAACATGGCATACACAATGCGCTAACATACAACCTAGCATACACAATGCTATGAAATGAAATGCATACACAATGACAAATGGACTTACACTAACACAAGTGGACTCTCAGCCACCACTCACATAGGGGCCAATCGATGAAAATGAGACAACTCGGAATGCGTGCACAACCATGCACGCAAACCGAGGACGAACCTAAGGGCATGAATGCCAACTCTAACAAGGATCATGGCAAGGCATGAAATATGATATGCAAACATGCAAATTTCAGAGGCAATAAGTGATGCAAAACAGCCCCGAAAGATGGCAAAATAGCACCCGATGCATGAAATGGTCCCGAAATGCAAGATTTAGGCACATGAAATGGCTTGTAGCTACATCAAGCATGCATTATTTGCTTATGAAATGTGAATAAAGATTCAAGGCAGTCCCAAAATAAGCATGTTCACAGTTCTAAGAAAGACCAAATAGCAAACAAAAATAGGGCAAAACTAGCATGCAAAAATAGCCCTAAATGTGAGATAAAGAAGCAACTCACAGCTTCTGACCCCAAACAGATTAGGGCCCTTCAACAATGTTGAATAGGGGCCCAAAATATGACCTTTTACAGTTTATGGCAAACCACAAAAACCAACACAGGTATGGCTAAGCTCTCATGCAAGAAATGGGCCAAAAGGTGGACAAGGAAGCAAGTGGTGGTTTCTTGCCTCAAACATAATGGGGCCCTTCAACAATGTTGAAGAGGGGCCAAAAATAATGTACTTTACAGTTGATGGACGGACCCAAAACAGTATGCAAATATGTTCAAAATGCTATGCAAAATGAGGCCAAAAAGAGAGATATAACACAAAGTATATAAAAGATGTTTCAAACCATGAATGACCCTTAATGAAACATGAATAATGGGTCAAAATAAGGCTGTTTTAAGTTCGGACCAGAGCCGAAAAACAGAAGATCAAGAGGCTAACAAATCATGCAAAAATATGGCCAAAAGAGAGATATAATGGCAAGTAGTAAATGGTGGAAGCCTCAAACAGCAATGAGCCCTTCAACAATGTTGAAGAAGGGCTCAAAATAAGCAACTTTTCAGTTCATGACAGAGCTTAAAACAATTTATACACAGGCCAAAAATATTACACAAGAAATTGCATATAAGAGGGATAATGAAGTAAGTGCACCAAGGAGGCCTCAAACAGTGAGAGGCCCTTAATCAAACATGAAAAATGGCTCAAAATAAGCTTAACTCCAGTTAGGGTCGGAGCCCAAAACAGCAAGCAAGAATGGCTTAGATAGGATGCAAAAATAAGCTTAAAAAAAGGGGAAGTGTTGCTTACCCTTGTAGGCCAAACTTCTACACTTCTTGGCATGAGAAAAGATGCCTCCTTAGCTCTGGAAATCAGCTTCAAGCTTCTGCAATGGAGGTTGGAGGTATGGTGCTAGGTGGTGGTGTAGAGAAGGGTGTAGGAACTTGAGGGTTTTGGGGCTTAGAGATATATAGAGAGAGAGATATAAGGCAAGAGCTCAAAGAGGAATTTTTGTAACCCCAAAACACAGCTGGGAGCTGCTGGTTTTATAAGCAAAAGAGGTGGAAAAGAGGGGGAAAAAATGGGGGGGAAATGAAATTGAAATTTCCCCCCAAAAAGGCCAAAAAGTGGGATATAAAGGAAAGTGGTAGCTGCTGGACCCAAATGGCCGAGAGCCCTTCAACAAAGTTGAAGAAGGGCTCAAAACAAGACACTTTGTAGTTTATGACCAAGTCCGAAACAGCTCACAAGTAAGCCTAAAATACCGTGCAAAAATAGGCCTAAAAGAGCATTAAAGAAGCAAGTGATAGGAGAAGATCTCAAACAGTAAAAGGTCCTTAATCAAACATGAAAAGGACCTCAAAATATGACTATCTCAAGTTTGGGTCGTAGCCCAGAAATGCAGAATGAAGGTTCGGGAGCCAAAACACGCAGTTCGGGGCCCCGAAAGTGGGCCGTTAGGCACCGGAAGTGGTGTCCGACCACGAAGTTGGTCTCTCGGACCGCAGTGTCCCTCAAAAGGGAGTAAATAAGATGCATGCCAAAAAATGGAGCAAACGGAGGCGGTTAAGCAGTCCCGAACCGAGGCACACGGCCAACGGCTCCAAAAAATCAGAAACCGGACTCCAAACGGGCAAAATGGCCTACGATCACGAAACGTAGCCTACGGCCACTGAGAGATGATCTACAAGTGCGCGCACAACGCAACCTGAGA